GCACGTGGCATGGGCACCGTAGTCAGACCGTGCCCCTTTAAGGGCTCCGGGGCTGGGAGGGGGACAGACGAGTTTCCCTGGTGGTGCCCAGATTGGCCACCAGGGCAAGCTGGGGAGGGCTAGCCTCCCACTAGTTCGAATTAAGTGGCTACACAGCCCTTAATTCGAACTACTTAATTCGAACTAGGCGTTAGTCCTCATAAAATGAGGTTTACCTAGTTCGAATTAAGCGCTCCGCTAGTTCGAATTAAGTTCAAACTAGCGGCGCGCTAGTATAGCACCTATCAAAGTTAATTCGAACTAACATCTGTTAGTTCGAATTAACTTTGTAGTGTAGACATACCCTAAAAAAGTACAATGGGGGGAAACTCAGCAAATATGTTCTCTTCATGGGGGATGTTAGCAGAGCAGGAAACAAACAGGAAGTGGGTCTCATTTTTTTTTTGTGGCCGTTGGTGTGGGTGGGGGGGGGGGGGGGGGGGTCTGAGTAATCTAAAACAAGGCAGGGGAGAAGCTCTGTAAAAACAAGTTCAGGAAATAACTGAGTCAGCAGCTGTGGCTAAGACCGTGGGCAAGAAGGCCAAGCAGACAGGGAGCACGTTACGCAAAATAACAAGCAGGAACTAAGCAAATCTGCTCTGTCGATAAGGCCCATCGGCAGAGCAATATACAAACAGGAAATCACCTGACTCCGCAAAAACGACATAGACTGGAAGACTAATGTGCAGGGTTACGTTTTTATAGAACGTTACCGGTTTCTTCAAAATAGTGCTCTATCCCCAACCCCTACCCACGATTCTGACCAATTCTGTGTCGTGTTCGTGTGTGCCGGACACAAAACCTGCGGAACAGGTCCCAGTCAGAGCAGGGTTCTCGGGAACTGTGAGGCTATGGGCTGCAAAGACATTCCCACAGCTTATACACCAAGCTCCACCTTCTAAATTAAGGTGTGATTTTCAAGTGGGCTAGATCCCACAGCGGTCAGTTCTGGGTCTGGTTCTAGTCAGTATCTTCGTCAAGGAGTAAGAGAAGGGCACGGTGAGTATGTTTAGAAAGTCGTTTGGATAAAACTCAGCTGGGAAGAGTTGCAGAAACTGTGGAGAACAGGATTAAGATTCAAAGCGATCCAGAGAAACTGGGAAAACCTTGAAAAACAACAAACAGTCCTTAGGCCACCCTCACTGATATCTCTGTGGGTCAGTGGCCCCAAAGATGGTTCCCCACCCCTGTTCTAGTGGGCTGCGTTGAACTTTGCTCCAGGAACGGTAGCCAAACGTGGCAGCTCTTTTTTATTTAGACACTTGCGAGTACTAGTTTGTGTGTTTGTGTCTCAGTGTTTGGACACTGTCAATTGGCTAATGTGTGTGTGAGGGTCTCTCTGTCTGCTGTGTGTTTGCATAGGAGAGCCCATGCACTTTGTCAAGTAAGTGAGCCTGTGTTTGTGGGCTATGAGTTTCTTGGAGTGCGTATCTCTGTGAATGTGAGTTACTCTGTGTTGCTATGTGTGGGGAGGCCGGATTGCGTGTGTGTTGCTGTGTGTTTCTGTAGGAGCGCAGGGTTGTAGGTGCTTGTTTGCATAGAGTTCCTGAGGATCTTTGGGGTGAAGCTGGCAGTTTGAGATCAGCTTCCTATCTGTACAGGACCAGCCATCTCTGTTCTCCTAGGGCCTTTAACCAAGAGAGGCATTCGCCAGCTGCTCTTCATTATCTGGAGGAGAACAATAGCTCTGTCTCTATCCAGCCTTATCAAAGGAGTGTGAAACTGAACCACTGATTAGTTCACCTCAATGGGGTGTTAACTCCCTCTCAGCCAGCTCCTCCAGTCCCTTGGGGATGCACCATGTGAGAACTGGTTGCAAAGCAGAGACTTGGGTGGGGAAAAGCTTGCAAAATGTGAGGACACAGGGATGAATCCATTTCAGCAGCCCAATTCTGAGCCAAAGGTTTTCCTGGGTTGGAGGCAGGTGGGGAGGGGGAATCTCTTGACTGTGTGTGTGAGGGTGAAATCTAAGTGCCAAATAACCAGCAGTTTTCACTCACTGACTTTGCAGAAATCTGGCCTGTCACTTCTATATAAGCGGTCTCTGCACATGTTACGTTTTCCCTCTGCTTTCCCAATGGAAAATTGTGTCCTGAAAAAGGAAAGAAACTGGCCCAGAGTCCTTGGGCTGGAGGAGACCTCAGGAGTCATCGAGTGCAGCTCCCGGCTCAAAGCAGGACCAACCCCAACTCCATCATCCCAGCCAGGGCTTTGTCAAGCCAGGACTTAAAAACCTCTAGGGACGGAGATTCCACCCCCTCCCTAGGGAACCCATTCCAGTGCTTCGCCCCCCTCCTAGGGAAATGGTTTTTCCTAATCTCCAACCTAGACCTCCCCCACTGCAACTTAAAAAACACAGGTCCCCATGTGAGCAGGATTTGACCTTGTCCAGGGAAACCCCATTGAATTTCAAGGCCAACACCTTAACCACTCAGGTCTAAGCTTCCAGCCAGCCTGAACCCTGTTTCCTGTCTTTTTTCTTGGTTTTTTTCCCCCATTCATTTCTTGTTTGTGCCCAACGAATACAGCAATATTTTCAGCTATCCCTGAACGAGTCCTTCCACTAAAATGTAACTAACCGGTCCTAGCATATTGTAGCTAACCAATTACAGCCACCGCCTTAACGGATGTACAGCCAGCAACATCAATTATACACGAGACAGAAACAATCAAAGAGCCGGACCGAGCCGGGCAGATAAACGACAGAGCTGGGCAGCAGAGACAAAACATTAAGAAATGCGGCTTTCACCACCCCAGCCACTGATCACGGGGGCCTTGCCAGACACAAAGGATCCACCTAAGTTTCCTTTAAATCAGGGGGTGGGGAATCTATGGCCCAGGGGCCAAAACTGGTCCCGGCTTTCCTGGATCCGGCCCCTGAGTCTCCGTGCGCTGCCACTCCCCTTCCTCCCCCCCCTCCCGTGGGGGAAATGGCAGTGCCTGGAGGCTTTCCCCCTGCCATTCTGATTGGCCGGAATCGCAGCCAATAGGAGCAGCAGGGGTGGTGCCTGGGAGCAGCCGGGGACCCAGTCATGTGCATCCCCAGCAGCTGTGCTAGAACAGCATCCAGACCCCGCACCTCCCAGCCTGCTGCAACACCCCTTCATGCCCCAGACCTACCACCCCCACTCCCTCTGCTCCTGCACCTACCTCCTGCCCAGTCCTCCCACTCGGAGCCTGCTCCTGCATCCTACCACGCTCCCAGACCCACCTACCTCCACCCAGCTCCTCCACCCTCCCTCCCAGACCTGACACCCCAGGCCCACTTCCCAGCAAGAAGCTGGCTTGGAAAAATTTCAAGATTTTTTAATCCTTTACCTTCTGGATTTTGACTTTTCTAGGATCACATTTGCACAACCGCAACCCGAAAGGGCTGGAGACCTAGTTACTTTTTTTTTTTAATTGAAAGTGCAGATTTTCACAAACCCCAAACCCTGGAGGCCTGAAGAAATAACACAAACGATCAGCTGCTAAAGTCACCTGGCGCTGTCCCAAGAGAAATCGGGAGGCAGGGCTGGAATTCTGGATGGCACGCCGGGAGCGTAACATCCCGGCTTTTGTGACACATGCCCCGGAGCGCAAATGCTCCCTTTCCTTTTCCCCACCCGTGTGCGGAATGAATTTTGTTCTGGGCACCGCTATGGAGGGGCTGCGCCACACAGCCACTCCGCAGATTGGTGGC